TATGCAAATATCTCCAAATCTTGTTTTGGAGGCACGTCAGGTAAACACCTTTTTCTGTCCTACCACCACAAACATAAACACGTAGAGTTTGATAAATTCTACTAGCGCTTTTACAAGCTCCACACTTCAGGATCGTGAGGCTCACATTTACTGGCTGTCCTTTACAGAGGCAGCAGATCCCACTGAGGAATTTATTGCCGTTTGGTAGAATAGTTGTCGTGTGAACAGATATCGGCTTGTCTTGTCTCAACAAAGAGCTCCGTGCTCTTTGTTGTATTTTCAGCAACTAAACCTGCAGGCCGGGTTGGTGTGAAATTCATACTTGACTGAGAAGACCTCATCTTCTCAGTCAAGTATGGTGGAGGGTCTGTGATGCTGTGGGCCTGTTTTTTATGCAAACGTCCTGGGAAATTTGCTAGAATGAGTTGCATCATGAACATTTAGAAATACCAGGACAGTTTAAGCTAAATCTGGTGACAGAAAACTGAAAATGGGTCTCAACTGGGTCCTTTTAACAGAATAATGTACTAAAGCACAGACATGTTTCATCTGACACTGAACAAAGACCTGAATAAAAAAATAAATAAATAAAAAAAGACCTGCAGATTTAGCTGAAGAGAAGAGCGTGCAGGAGAAGACCCAGGACTCTGGACTACTATTAAGAATTGTTGTGAAATGTTGAAGCAAAAAGCTGAGTGTCGTCCTGTTGACAAAAGGGAGAAATGCAAAGTGTTGACAATAATATCAAATTAAGCCACTCTAATAAAAGATGAACAGGGATGCCTATAAAAGGAACCAGCAATATATTTTCCCTGTCATAGGCATCGTAAGATTCAGCAATAAGAGCTGATTCAGAAAATAAGAGCAAGGCATCATAATGCATGCCATGTTGTTGAAAACTCAGGGCAGAGCACTGTTTATAAAAAGCAAAATGGAACAACATTCACTAAGGAGTTATGAGAAGTCATCTGATGTGAAACAAATGTAACTCGATGTCCATCATTGTCCTCCTATCTTTACCCAAAGCTTCACATCCAAAACTTTAGGAGTTTTTTTTTTGCACCACATCCAGTCTTCAAACCACCCTCTCGTTGTTGATTTATTTTTAAAAAAATTTCTGATAATAATAGCAGCTTCTGAAACCATATTACAAACCAGAAAACATGAACATGAACACAACCCTGGAGCGACACGTGTCTGCCATCAGAAGCTGTCCGTGGTGACGCTGGTGACCTGCGGCTGCACTCTGTTCCTGCTGCAGCTGAAGAGCCAGGCTGCCCTCCTGTGGTGGTAGCGTTTGGACAGCAGCACGTAGAGCACCGGGTTGATGCTGGGGTGCAGGTACTGCAGCATGGTGCAAATGAAGTAGAACGTCTCCCAAGCCTGTCCGTGGCGGTACAGTCCCAGGTACACACACAGCTCCAGCACATATCCAGGCAGCCAGCATACGGAGAAAGTAGCAGCGGCCAAAAACACCAAGACAGAGGCTCTACGGGTGTTCCTGGCACTGGACACCGACATTACGGGGCTCTTGTGGAGAAAGAGCGCCAGGCGAACGTAGTTGAAGGCGATGACCAGCATTGGAATAAAGTAATAAAGCACGAACTGGCTTAGGACCACTTGGTAGTGGTGCTCATGAATGGTTGGAAGACAGAAGCTGAAGTTTGCCAGGCTCGGGTTCAGACTTTCCTTGGTGGCAAACATTCGCAGAGGCAGGCTGATGAAGAAACTCAGGGCCCAGACCAAGACAAACATGAGGATAACCAGGTCCATGGTGGGAGGCTGGTACGGGTTGGTGATGATCATGGCTCGAGTCATGGAAACGGCACACAGAGAGTATGTGCTCGCCGCCAGGCTGAACGCCAGCAGGAACTGGTAGACCTTGCAAGAGATGTCGCCCAGAGGCCAAGAGTGACTTACAGCGGAGTGCAGAGTGAAGGGGATGAGGAGGAGGGTTAGGAAATCAGCCAGAGTCATGCTGAGAAGAAGGATGTCCAGGCGATTCTTACGCAGTGTGTTTTTCTTGGCAAACAGGGAGAAAGCCAGCAGGTTGGCACAGAAACCAATGCCCAGGATGACTCCGCAGACACAAGCAAAGATCACCCCATACGTGTTGGGATAGGCCATGTTAGCACTTGTTGGTCACCTGAAAAAAGAAAAAAAAATGTCTTCTGTTACTTTCCAAACTTCTGCGTTTTGTTTCTCAAGCTTTATATCATGTTCTTCCTCTAAATGAGTCAGCGTGCTGCGGAAGTTTTTGTACGTTTAGAGCTTTCCATACATGTCGTTGCATTACAACCACCTATTACACCTATTGCATACATTGTGTGAAATCCAGTAAAAACAATGTTTGAATTTGTCAAAGGGAAAATTAAATGTTACTGTCATTCTGTTGGCAGCATCCCTGAAAACATTCATATGCTTCCTGATGATGCTCATTTGTCAAAAGTACCTTTTGAAAATAACAACCTGTAACAAGGTACTAAACAAGTTTTTCATCAGCCCAGATTTTATTGGTCTGTTTGATATTCAAGATGTCACATCAGACCACTAATAGCTGTCAGCAAAAATCATCACAATTAGCAAAAACAATGGCTTGAAAACATCAATCTGTCTGTAATTAATCAAAATAATTAGTTTCACTTAGTTTAAGTGAGTTACTTAAATAAATGTACTTCACAGATATACTGATCTGGTCTGTAGTTTTTGCACATAGAACTAATGCTTTGTAAAGATCTGTATAAAGATAACTATTAATTTAAGTGTTTATTTCCACAACAATTTTATAGCAAAAGCCAAAAAAACATTCAGAAATATTCTGAAAACAAACTAACTCTTGTTTTTTAACTTGTGTCATTGTTCTTGGTGATATCTTCATGTATAAGAAAATTCATAAACATGAGCAAAGCGAGCCTGTTTGAAATTCACTAATACCAATAACAGCACAATAAAGGAGGAATAATCACAGTTGCACCCACCATTGTTGTTCCTCAGCTGGCTCTTCTCTGCTGCATCTGTAAATGAAAGTGCCGCATGCCACGTGGGGAATAACTTGTTTGTGTTGCTGATTTTTGTCTCGTTGAAACGGTCCAACCGGGACAGACCGTCAGCCTCTTTGGACTCATGACAAAATGTGGCAGCGAGAGGTGAGCGCGTGAACGGCAAACATCACTTGAACCAAATTGATTCTAGTCGACTGGGTTTAAAGAGAAACGCTCTCCGCTGCTGAGAGAGAGAGCAGTAACATGTTCCATATGCCTGGCAGGTTGGCGGTGAAACGTCCACACTTAATCACTTTTATGTGCTCAGCTGCAGCTGCAAACAAATATATGGAGCATTTCAAAGGCTTTTTAATGTTTACAAGCGGCAATAACATCCATGTCGTGTTGTTTCACTGTAGAAGACGTCTGAGGTTGCTTAGCTTGATACATGACAAATGTTCCCAGAGCTTTTCCAGGCTTCTGCTCAATTTCAGTTTGTTTTTTAATGCTGCAGATGCATTGATCCAGCTATAGTCTTGATTAAAAATGACCCAATTATGCAAAGTGTTTTCTTTTTTAAATGTCAGTCACACTATGATACTTTGAGCCACTTCAGCGCAGAGATATCAATGTTTCTCCGTGTTGCTCTGATTGATTTCTCCTGTGCGACCTGCAGGCCTTTAACAGTGGCTTTATCAGGCTTTCCACAGCATTTATGGCTCCGTGTCAGCTAATGGCCTGCGGTGTACGCTGCTGCTGTTAGCACAGGATATAGCTGACATTGATGCATTCGGTTACCACACCATTACCAGTATCTGTGTCTTTTCTATCGGTGGTTGTTAAAAAAAAAAAAAAAAAAATCCACAGGTTCCTCCAGTGGGACATTAACAGCTTGGTTGTGTGCTGCATGAGCCAAAAAGTCAACATAAGCATCGATATGTTTTTTGCATTTCCACACCAACCTCTAAGGTAAGTTTTAACTCATAAATTACTCTGAATCGCAGCCTAATTACACTCCGTCACACACGCATGATGTCATTGTGTTAGGAAAAAATGCCTAACCTGCAGTTTAATTCGCTCTACATTGCAGCAGTGTTCACATTTAGTCGGCGGAATATACATATATACTTTTTTTTAAAAAAGAAGTTGAAAATACTTCCTAATTTAGATCAATATTTATTTTTAGTCTTTCCAGGGAGCTGCAGCATCATAAAAATACTAACTTCTGCTGGATTTGCCTTGTTGTTTAAGATCAACTAATGAATTTATTTTGATGACATGCAAAGATGAACAGAACTACAAAGTGGCTTTTTTAAATGGAAATGTCATCTATTAAGGGAAAGGAGTTGTCCCGTTTTAGGCCGTGAATTAACTGTGACTAACCACGTCTTTTAAAAAAGCTGACGTCAGCTTTATCAAGCCACACCCGAGCCTGACCAAGAACTTCTAAAATCACTTGAACAGACCCTGTCTGGCAACATGAATCGGTGCATATCTGGCAACGAGGTCAATAAAGACAACGCGAATCGAAAGGTACCTAAAAGCTACTTTTTTAATGTTTGATTAACTGGAAACATGTACAGCATTCCCTCAGTGCAAGTCCAGAACAACGAAACTGGGTTGAGCTTTGGCTTATTCATTCTAAGCAAAACAAACAAACTGCAACGTAATTCAACAGAAGCGTTTTTCTGACGATGCCTCTGATAAGTCATGAGTCCATAAGGGATTTGAGGTGAGGAAGGAAAGCAGTACCATCAACAACAGTCGCTACGCTAACATTCGACCACAATGTATGTAACTAAAGTGCATAATGGAATCAAATCAGCAGCACCGTGATACATTCACAAAATAAATATAGACTTTCAACGTGAAATAAATTATGGCTGAACCATTTGAACAGAGGTACAGTCAGGCAAAAAGAAAGTTAACCCTCTGCTTGATTGAATGACCGTCGGCAGGTGTAAGATCTTTGTTACCGTAGCATCAGGGAGAAAAACCTGCAGGTGATGCCTCTTGGTCTACGTTGAGTTGTTTATTTCTCAGTGAACAATATTTAAGACAGTTGACAATCTTCCCAGGAGAGGACCTCCCGCCAATGTGCAATGCTCAAATAAATGGCAAAGAATCCATAAAGATGCATCTCATACACTACACGCCTGCAAATGTAGAAGTTTATGACAGTACAAGCAGAAAAGGACATAGAAGTGTGAGCTTGTTAATGAGGTTTGCCGGAAGAGCGCTCTTACGTCACAAAACGCTCTCAAGGTTTGCAATGACGCATCTGTGTGAACCTCGAGACTTAAAACTTGACTTGACCAGGTCTGGTGAGAGACAAAACCATCGCCTCAACGCATCAGCCCCACTTCCAGACACGGCGGTGGAGGACTGATGATCTGGGCTTGCTTGGCAACCAGAGGACCCGGACTCACCTTTGAGTCAAGCATGAGCTGGTCTAAATGTTTTCATGAGGCTGTTCTGAAGCCATATGACTGACGTTGAACAAATCTAGAATCACATTGAAACAACGAAACAACGCTGCACAGAAGGGAGAAAAGCGATCCACACTGATGTGCGTGACTCCGTCCAGCTAATGGTGGCTCAGCAAATTATTGAGTCACAGGCTGTAATGACTTTCAGCCATATTGACTTCACCTTTGTTTAATGATTAATGACATGCTGAAATCTGTTGAGGGTTTTTATGCACCTGAGGCTGGAGAGAAGTACTTTTAACAGCCTATTAAGCTCAGAGCGTTACTTTACGACATTGGAAGAGGGTGTACTTTCTTTTTACCGTGACCGTATGACCTGAGCAGTTTGTCAGACTTTTTGTTCCTTTTAGGTTCTCACGCGAAAGGAAAATAAGTATTTCCTCGTCTGCTCGGCCTGTGTACACGTTTGGTTATAGATTATAATGTATACAAAAAAAGACGTCCCAGGGACGACCAAGTTACAGAGGTGGGACGATCTTCCTAATAAATATGAACCTAAGATTTCATGTTGAAACTCCAGGAAGTATGCAAAGTACAAACAGTTTATCATATAAGCACAACCCTGACTCCAGAAACAGTCTGTCAGGGGTCAGTCTGTGTCAGTGTCTTAGTGCAGCACCATTAAATAGATGGGGTCCTTTGTCTCTTCACGGCCCCTTCCCAATGGCGGAGCGGGCTCTTCTCCTCTTCTTTTCGTTCTCTCTGCGTCGCCCTAACCGGACCTTTTTTTTCCTCTTGGTGGCAACTTTAAGGTCGTGCTCCTTATAGGCCGCGGCTTTGTTGGTCTCCTGGGTGAGGTGGGGAACCGCCCCGTCCAGGTTCACCCTCTCTAGGAGATCCTTGCTGGCCCCCTGGGGCTTCTGCTGTAGGCTGCTCCCACTGAACACTTGGCTCTGGGTCCGGCTCTGCACAGGTGGAGCGTGCTCCCCGGCCGTGTGCACCTCCTCCAGCAGCTCCTGCAGCCACGTGCGGCGCCTGTACTCCTGGATGGAGCGGCTCTTGTCGTGCAACAGCTGGGCGTGGCTCACTGACCTTCTCCTGACAGAAGCAGAAAAGAGGGTTTGTTAAAAACTGAGAGAAAGTGTTCATTCTGATGATTGAGGCTTCAGTATAATCTACTGACAATATGTGCTATATATATATATATTTTTAGTCTTTTTTGACATTCTTATGAATATCAAATGTTTTTTTTTTGCTACATCTCAAATATTTAGAACAACAATTCTTAGATTTTCTTGTGGGTTTTTTCACTCCGCAGCGTTGAGTTTATGCGAGGCAGCTAAAATTTATGGTCAGGATTCAGGAAACCTCAGTACAGTAGGTGGCAGCACAAACATGCCTGAGACCTGTCACTACTCTGACTTTAAGACCAGCCTAAGAGAAAGAACCCCCCTCACACACACACACACACACACACACACACCACACACACACACACACACACACACACACATATGTTTCTTACTTTATCATGTCCATGTCAAACAGTTCTGCACTTTCTAAATAGAATTAGTTGACTTTTTTTAATGTATTTCAGCACAAGGGCATTTTTATCTAAATCCTAAAGTTCATGCATTCAGTCGTAAACTGTAAAATATAACTTACGTTCTGTTAATGAGCACATCAGCTGTTCTCCCTTCGAAAGTCACTGGGAAGCTGAGCAAAAACACGGCCAGAGTCCACTGGTGAAGCAGCACTAAAGCAAACATGCTGGATCCAAAAAGATCTGAAGAACAAAATCACATTATGAGTAACTGCGTAAATACATAAAACAGATTTTATTGCGCATATTTCGTTTTTAGATTTTAAGATTTACTGCTATCTACCGATTTCTGATGTTTAATAAAACAAATAAATGAATAGATTTAAAAAAAAAAAACTGAACTTACACAACCTTTCCAGTTAGATTCCACAAAAAAAAAAAAAAAAAAAACGCCAAAGGTTAAGAAATTAAACTCCAGAGAAAAATATGTTGGAAAACATTTGAAATGATCCTGCCATATGCATTTTTTGGTCCATCTAGAATCTCTTAAGGTGTAACGTCAGCCTCGGGAAATTCCCCACGAGTCTCCTCCATTCATTTGCCTCCCAACAGTGTGTGTGGAGCTATTTATTTCTCCCCAGTGTCCAAATTAAAAGAGGGACAAAGATAGAAAGAGCAGCAGCAGCAGCAGCCCCATTAGCTGCGGCGTTGCAACGCTACCCTGTTCTCCAGCAAGCTCTATGAAGAGTTACTCTGAAGCAGCAGCAGCATCATCATCTCTGGTGGCCCGAGCCGAGAAAGCAAACATCTCAGTCCTGCGCAGTGAGGGAGCCTGTGTGTGTGAGAGGAGCTGAGTGAAAGTTAAACTCTGCTTTAGGTGAAGATGCAGCCACCTCAGCCTCGATCCAGTCTGTGCACCCTCCCCAACCTTCCAACCCCTCACCTCTGTCCCTCCCCCCTTACCCTCCACACACACACACACACACACACACACACACACACACAAACACACCACACACACACACCTGCTGTGACATGGAAAGACGCCCGAAGGACCACCACACACAGAGAAAGAAAGAGAAACTCTTTGGCAAATGTTATTTTAATAATATCAGACACTTTTACACGCACCCAAACAAGAAAAGGCCACAAATAAAGCATGCAGCGGTGAATCTTTTGCAGAAAAACATTAGTGTATAGGGGTAACCATACGCTAACCAAGTGGAGAGTGAACGGTTGAAGGCGAGGGGCAGGGTTCCTCCAAGGTAAACACCTCGGCCTAACCACTCTCCCAGGGGAGAATGACCATAACCTCAAAGAAATCCAACCCACAGCCTCTCGCTGCAGACCGTTCAGTTCACCGCCGTCCTGCCTCGGCAAACCATCTCACCACCGAATGGTCACAGTGGCTTCTGATGGGGGGGTTCACACATTCACCTAATGCAGAGAGAAGAGTGCCTCGTTTTACGGCGGCTCTGTTTACTCCCAGATTTGCTGTTTGGATAGGGAATCAAGTCTTGTAAAAATAATGAACTCTGTGACAAAGTGAGGTGAAAATGCTACAAAGGTTAGAGTTGGAGCTGCCCATGGGAAGAAATGTTCAAGTGCTGCAGTGCAATGTGAGATGTTACACGGCTTTACATTCATTAAACTTTTTAGGAAAAACTACAGCGTGGATCAAAAAATGAGGGACTTTCCACTGATGTTTGCAAGGTCAGTGGCACAGTTGTGTCATGAGCTGTTGCTCATTTTGTGCGTGGTTATAATTCTTGGTCTAAAATGTGTAACCCTTAAAGGCTTAAATGAAAATCTCCACTGGTCTCCTCTAGCGTTGTAGACGTGTTGTTTTCTTTTTCCGTTGGTTCCTTTCAGTGACTAATTGTTACTGCTGTTTATTGGTAGGGTTAGAATGATTGATTTTAAGTCTTACAGGTTAATCTCAACCTCAGTCTCATGCCATAAAGTCAAGTCAGGACACCTTCCCCACAGCATGATGGTGATACCACCATGCGTCGCCATGGGGATGGTACTTTTAGGGTGGTTTGAAGTGTCCTTTCTGAGTTTTTTTTTTTTCTTTTTCTGTTGGAACATGTATCATCTTGTATAGATATAAATGATGTCCTAAACTGAACAAAGCCTTTTCCTTTTTGTTAGCTTTGTCCTCTTTGTGGTCAACTGTAAACTGGATGTTTTACATTTTTCTTTTGACGATGGCTTTTTTTTGGTCACATTTCCATAAAACCTGGACTTTCGGACAAGCCGACGTACATTTGTTTTTGTTTTTTGGGGAGTTTTCCCACCTTGGCTTGTGACAATCTGCAGCTTGAAATCACCACGAACCTCTGCGCTGTTTCTCTTGTCTGATTCTCACCGCGCCCCGCCTGTCTGATTCTGTGATCGGTCTTCGTAAGTTTGCAGTTGTGCCTTACTATTTCTATTTTCAGATGACGGATTGAAGAGAGCTCCAGGAGATACTCAAAGCTTTGGATATTGTTTTACAACCTAACCCTGCTTCATACTTCTAGATATATTTATGCCTGACCTTTTGGTGTGTTTCTAGGCCTTCGTGATGCTGTTTGCTCACCACTGTTCCCAAAAAAACCTTCTGAGGACGTCAAAGAACGGCTGTAATTGTTCTGAGATTAAGTTAGACACACCTGGTGATTTCTGAAGGCAACTGTAGTTGCAATGGGGTCAAAACACTTTTCAAGACAGTGTTTCAAAAAGAGCAAAATGAAGAGTTGAACAACAGTTGTCTACTTCTTGTTTTGCATTTCCTGGACAAAACAGAGCTATAGATACCACAAAATTACATTTTCACAAAGATTTTACTGCATTCCTATGTTCTTTTTCTTCATCATCACGCAGCTGGCAGGCTTGGTCCCATAAATTCTTATTTGGTACAGTTTGTTCTGCAGTTTCTTCAAGCTTTCAAAGTAATTATTGCATACTGTAATTGGAAACAAATGAAAGTTAACAGTGAAGATCGGCTTTAGTGTGGGTGTGCGCAGAATTACCAGGAGTCCTTCGCTGTTGCTTCGATTCAGTTTATGTCTGGTGCAATCCGTTTAAACGTTGCCATGAATCTTTCCTGGGTTTTGACCAGTTCTCCTTGGGCAACAGAACGTACCGTGTTAAAACCTAGAGATTTCAGTGATCCTTTTATGTTTCCGTTAACGTCTCTATGGTTCATAAAGATGTTGCAAGGATTACATGGTTTTTATGTGACTGTTCCTTCGTCGGTGGAAACCTGCGTTCTTGGTGAACTGAGATAACGTTGGTGGTCCGTTTTCCTTTCATCACACTTTGACTAAAATGATTATTTTAGTCAATATTTTGACTTAAGAAGATGGTTTAAAACCACATTTAAAAAAAAGAAAAGAACGTTTGGGACCAAATCTCAATTTAATAAAATAGTTATGTGAAAAAAAGGTTGAAATTTGCAGAATAACGTTGTTTGAAACACTTTTTGTCGAAGGGTAATGAAGCAAGCTGAGAGATGGCCAAGGCTGAGGCACGAGGCGTGACACGGTTCGTGCCTCACCTATGACAAATTACTCAAGCAGGGACCAAGATCTGGTTCATAAAGGCGACCAAGCGTGACGTTTCCCAGATAATAAAACTGGGTGTCTTATTTTGCTTTTATACGAACTCTGTCAGTACAATATGATCGTGCATGTCCACAAATGACTTTATCTTTTTTAAATTCAATAAATTACTACTCTTTCGAAGCACTTCTTTAAGCCCACAATATTTCGCTGCAGTGGGGATTTATTTTTCACCATGTCTGTGTGAAATAGTCGGCAATCTGAGCACCACTGGGGTGACTTCCAAAGTCTAGCTCTGCATTATATAAGCTCGAAGGAGACTGCCATGATTAATGAACAGATAAGGAAACATAAGGCCAATATATGCTCCTCAGGAACACTGACTTTGTTTCTTTATCTGAGAGTTAAAGAACAAAATTACATAATTTTGCCTTGGTTGGTTTGGACTTTGCAGCTGGTTCTTGATTTTTTTTTTTTTTTCGTGTTTTATCCAACAAATTTGCAATTAGTAAGAAATTTTGATTGCATGGTTGCCAGAAAGAAAAACTTTCTAGCAAACTCAAGCGAAAGAGGAACTTTTGGCAACCCATCTCATGTGTTCAGCCGTTAAAGCTGCGGTAACTTTTATTACTTTTTTTTTTTTTCAAATTTGTTGAAATCATACTATATTTTGACAGTATGAGACATCTGTGAAAAAACTCTAACTCCTCCGCCTTATCCCAGAGCTAACTAGAAACAACCAATCAGAGACAGGAGGCGGGCCTTAGCGCTGTCAGTCACTCTCTGTGTGGTTCTGGTTATTCCTCCCTCGCACTTTCCCTCTTTGCTCTATACGCTGCAGCTAGCACTGCCTGTTTTGAACACTCAGGCTAGTTAGCACGGCCACTAACAAATGGTTTTCCAGTAACACTAAGTCGGTTCTCCACCATTAGCACATTGCGTGCATGAGGATGATTGACAGCGCCAAGACCCTCCTCCTTGGCTATGATTGGTTGTTTTTGGTGCATTTCTTTAGATGGAAATTATAATTCAGGGAGAAGATGGAAGAGAGGAAGAGACTAATCCTGTCACAAATGATCTATCTCATATTACAATGTCTTCACATAATATCAAGTTTAAGCAAACATGTAAAAAAAGAAACTTTTTTTTTTTTGTAAAAGTTGATAATTGCTGCTTTAACCACAGATTGGCAAAAACTTGTTTTTCTTAAGCTTTTCATTTTTGTGAACTTGTCAATATTTTGTAACAACTTTACTTTTGCAATATCCTGCATAGGTTCTGTGATGTCCGCTCTCAGTACTTTTTATTTTGTGATTTTTTAAACTTTTTTTTATGCCCAGAACAGGACTGATGCCCACATTCCTGCTACATTTTTTGAAGCCTCATGATTAAAACAGGCACTGATTATGTGTAGAAAACTTTCAACTGTTTTAATCAACCACTGCACCGATCACAAATACATTTCATTCGTGGGTGGAAATTTTATGCAGAGTTTGTCCTTATTTTTCACCTTATGAGGCAACAATAGATGTGGAGATTTGAAAAATTGGGGGGAAAAAGTTGGAGAAAGTTATGATATATGTCCTTTAATGTATACGATGTAACTCTGGCAAACAGAAGAAATAATTAAATTTAGTTTTTTAGTTATTACTTTTATGATGTAACGACTATGAACCCAATCAATCTAGT